TTCGACTGTTCGCAGAGACCACGTCATATGGCCATACAGCAAAACAGCCCGTACTACAGCCTGGTAAACACGTCCATAGAGCTTGAGAGATGTGCCACTTAGCCTCAATTCAACGAACGCGACTCGAACTGCAGAGAAGTGTGAATTGACCTCATGTGTCACAGTACAGTTGAAACTTGTACACCTTCCAAAAGGCGCTCCAATATCTCGACTATCTCCTCCGATCGAGTGGCTTGTTATTGGCTGCATGTCCAGGAGCCTGACCTTAAACTTTTGCGAAACACGTGCAAGGTGATGGGGTAATTTTGGTCAGTTCATCCAAACACACTTGTGCCTTCTTTTCGAAACCAGAACGACATCATCCGCAAATTCCAAATCGACAAGGTTTTTTCAGCAGCTCAGAGCTCAAAGCGTCCTTCTTTGAGGATACACGTGCCACTCTGATGCTTGATGGTTTCATCGCCAGTCGTTTTCGAGGAGCATTTGCGCATATCAACCAAAATAATCTTCGGCAATCTCTGCTCTATGTGCCTCTTCCATTCAACCAGGTTTTTCACGCCTCTGAAGTTCAACGTGTTCTCTTCGCATGGCAGTTTTCATTACCTCAGCAATATTGACCTCGTGGACGGTGTTTTTTCCACGCCTTTCCAAAAACTACGCATAAGTTTATATCTTCGTAGGCACTCAAATTTTGCTCCCTGTTCCCGGAAACGATGCCCACCTATACCCCATTGACGTCACAGCCACAGCAATCATTAGTGTTGACACTGGTGCTTGACCGCCGTACAACCACAATGTTTATTTTATTGTTCGAAGCCTCAACAATGAATAAAACTGGATTGGAAAGGGCCCTGGTGCTAGCCCACTCCAACCATTCTAAAACGCCTACACCCCCTAAACTCTCGAACAGACAGTCTGGAAAGAAACTGACAATATGTGCGCTACTGACGTCGATTAGCTGTCATTTCTTGCAACTTCTCAGACCAGCCCGAGGGAGGGTCGCGGGGACCCAATCCTAGTAGCCGGGCCGCCAAACAGTACTCAGACTCTTCCTTGTCCAATCGACAACCTGGTATGAAAAACTCAGTAGATGTCAAATTGAGACCCCTCATTATGGCTCAATGAGTCATCACGATAAGGTTCAGTCTATTCGGTTCCAGTTGTTTATCCAGCGTTTTTTTTGACGTGGCCATTCTTCGGCGTTTCATTATTTGGACGGACCGACTTTGATTCCTTCAAGTCATAAGGGTCTTTGAACCGGCGTCGAAAGTGCTTGTAAAAGTGCAATGCATCACGGAGGAAACAGTGAGTTTGACGTGTGTACACCTCATCCTAGAAGGCGGGGAACACCGACAGCACTCAAACGTTCATGCCCGTTTGCTAGGTCAAGGGCTGGCCACCTTTTTGCTTCCACCAGTCTGAATCGGACACGGAAAACAGCGCTTCTATCGCAAACGGTGGTTCGGCGTACGTAATACATGGTCTGAACAACGCTACTGCTGGACACTTCAACGGAAGTCCCTGTTGCACAACTGAAGACTCGCCTTCCAATTGCCTCGCTACGGATACGCCGACAGCTGCCCACACGAGCTATGGTTCTGAGACAACGATTGTCGGACACCTGAAGACGTCTGAGTTCCGCCGCTCCGCTTAGTCTCATAGTCATACAACAAAACAGCCCGCACTGTAGCTTGATACACACGTCCCTTGAGATTCAGGGTTTTATCGCCTTCCCGCCATGCAGATCCGTGTATTCACCTCATCTGTCACACTACAATCAGAAGTAATACAACTTCCAGGATACGTAAAACGCTCCACAACTTTCAGTGCCTTACACTGGATTGCAAGTGGCGTGTTTAGTGACTGGATGTCCACGAACATGACCTACACCTTGTGGGTGCAAAGTGCATACCAAAGAACGGGATGACTTTGGTCAGTTCATCCAAGAATACTTGCGCCTTCTCCTCCTCTTCGAACATCAGAACGATGTCGTCTGAATACTCCAGATCGACAAGGTTTTCGTCACGGGCTATTTGAAAATCGGGGTTTTGAAGACCATCCAGGGTTCGTCTCGTGATTTCATCGACCACGAAATGAAATAGGAATGGAGGGGATTGGCACCTTTGGCGGACACCGCTTTATGTACGGGAGAGCACGCCGTATACTCTCACGTCCGGAAATCTAAGTAGACAAAGAGCGTATTATGTTCACGAAATTCCGGGGCATCCCTTGGTGGACAGTCGTGTAAAGAACAGACCGGTCAACCGAGTCGAGTGCGCCATGAAAATCCGGGATACTAGAATTGTGGGTCGCTTTATACGTACGGCGTTGTTCTAGCACCTGACGGAGTGTGAAGATTTGGTCAATGCAACCCCTACCGGACCGTAATCATGCTTGCTGCTTTCGAGTCAGTGTTTGGCGGTGTTACCAGCTTACGACACTTTAATGTTGAGATACGTTGGATGGATATAGTCAAATGTAGTTGATACTGCTTAGTAGCTTTCACTGCGTGAAGAGAAATCTCCGGACTCACTTAGCTTCTTACAGTCTGTGGCATTCATAGACGTGCATGAGGGTAACTGCCGTGGTCAGCCACAAGCTCACTATTTTTCTCTCAATCCCCCACTCTTTTCACCATAAGGCAGCAGCGCATGGTGATTACTTTTGTGCCAGGAAGAGTATACCTCAACTTTTGAAAGCTCTTCTGTGAATATCTCGTCCTTCCTATTGCAAGTAACCTGGTTTTGCTTTCCTCTTGGAAGCACTCTACCTTGGAGACAGCACGGCATTTCAAGTATTGTCGCGTTAGAACTCCAATGCATTTTCGTCATTGTCTAGTAAAACTAGACATCTAACGCTGTCATCCGGGGATCTACCGTCTCCCACACAGTAAAAAATTTTCAAATACGTTTTGTCACGGTAGCCACCAACACTGGTAAGCCAAGCTCCACATCCGTAGAGACGAACCGCGCCCACTATACTGGAGCTGACACCAATCAGAGAAAGGTATAGGTCACAACGTTTCCACAGATGTTTCAGACGCGCAAAATTTTCCTCCAGCTCTGTTGTTTTACTGTGTAACCCTTAAGGTAGAGAAAACTGTTGTCTTTATCCAGCATGTCGCTACCGAACGTGAGTGCAGTCACAGCCTCTGCCAGTTCTGAACCACGGAACGCGTCGTCCAGCTCACCCTCAATCGCCAGCCGGTCCAGCACGGTCTGTACTTCTGGGATAGATTACTAGTCCAAACGTTGTTATCGGTGAAATTTAAATCTGTGAGTGTATTACCAAGGCGAAGTTCGATGCTTCTGTTTCGTCACAATTCCAATTCAGTGAAACGGATATCTTCGATCATAGTTTCGAAGATGCCGTACGCAAGAGAATGTGTTGGTGGGAGCAGGTGGTCTTATCTGCTAAATTCTCCTGCGATCTGGCTATATGATGCTTTCGCTAACCGAACTTTTTTACCCCTCCCCCCAAACACCTGTTAGCAAGCAGTTTCTTAAAACCACCCGGTCAATTAAATCCACTGCAAGGACGCCATACAGGAACACATTTTGGTGTACATCTTGCCTATCCATCTGTCTATCTTGGTTGATAGACAACCAGTGTATAAGAATGCGTGCAACTGTTTTGGCTGCTCCTACAATCATGGTGACTGAGCCATGTATTTCTTTCTGTTTTAGTAGGTGCAGCTCTTTTCTGACCGTAGGAGGATCTAAAAAAGATTAACCTTTGACCCCCTACAATATCCCCAAGTGGATCTACTAACCTGGTAGTCCAGTGGGAGCGCTCTGTTCATCGTTATAACTGCGATTCTCTGATCGACACAGCAGTTTCCATCCCTTAATGTTTAGTTACGAAGAAAAAGTTGATCCCACCTGGTCGATCTTGAAGGTTTTTTTGGAACCGTGCTGACCCTTTTCGCGCGACTGTTTAACTTATCAGACGCAAATGGCCTCCCATGACTCGCATCTGTCCGGAAATACAGTTCTGAACTGACAGATGTTGATACAGGCCTGAAGTTGTTTGCCACAACTTCAGAGGTTAAAAGGGTTTATATACGTTCAGGATCTGGTCCATAAAAGCCATATCACCCATTAATCAATTGCCAGTATGGACGTTTTGGAACACTGCAGGCGCAAAGAAAACTGGCAACTTTCAGTGAATGTTATCGCGAATGGTTGTGAAATGGTCTTCGACATAACCTCACCGCAACAGTATTGGGTCAGTACAGACGTTGGTGGTATAGTCTGTACATAATAACAGCAATATTCCTCCTAGAGTTTGTTGTTCCAGAATATTTGTTTTTATCATCCAGATTGGTGACCGAACTTCATAAGTATGACTAAGGAGCACTTCGTTTTCGTTAACTGTTACTTTCAAGGACAGATATACCGATTACCAGCATGGAGGGCAGCATGAATTAGAAATTGATATGAATGTGTGGTCGCACGCCGAAAACCTTAGCCATGTAAGTGCTCTCATCTCTATCGAGACTCATCAAATGAGCTTGGAGAAATCGGACACGTGACCCTTTGATTGGCTGTTCCAGCCTGTAATTCATATACCATGCATTCATCGTTGCGTTTATGCAGCTGGTAAATTTCGGTGAATTTCGGTCGATAAAGAGGTTATCTCCGCGATGGAAGTTAATCGTAGTCATGATTGTAGTCAGAATCATAACTTCCCAAAGTAAGCTGTCGTTGGCATACTGCTCTGCTGAACGGTGCAAGTTAAACAACACCCATCTTTCCACTTACCCATGACACCATAGTGCTTCACGACGATGTTCCTCATTTGGGTACGGCATTGCTTTTGATCGTCGTTTACATACACTGCCATCATTTCCGCACTTCACCATTCTTTCCGTTTGCTTTTCCCGTCCTTAAAAAGCCCCTCGTCAAATGAGTGTTGTGCCACACCCTTTGACAGCTACTGTAAACAACATATCGCCGTGCACTGTGTGTCGCGCTCATCCCAACCGACAGTCCTTACAGTCTTCTCAGGGTGTTTCATCGTCAAATCTACCTAATCAGTTCTACGCCGTTCCAATCGCATCGCAGGCTGCAGTCAACCGAACTGGAATGGGTGAAGTGTTCATAAACACGCACCCTGGCACGGTCCGCATTATTCAACAAACAGGTAGGCAGGTTCTTTTGATCTTCCAGCCACAGCTTTTGTATTCACCCTTTTCTCGACCAATGTTTTTCGGTAGATTTTCGTGTCTTATTGCTCCTAATTTCCAGTATTGTTTTCTTCCTGCCTGGGACGTGCGGTTCACACTCGACTCTTGAAGTTTAGGTACAATGACAACGGACTTCACTGGACTGGCGAAGTTTTCCATCCACCAACTTTTAACAAGTTGGCAATCAGATACCATATTTCCGGATTGCATCACTCCATTTATTCGACGCTCATGGTCGGTCTTCCTGTTTCGTCTCCACAATAGTTTTTTTGCGTAATAACAGGTATTTTGCGTACAACTGTGAATAAGTAGATAGGTAATCGTCGAACTAGATAGTTGGTTTCTGACGTCCCCCATCTCCCTTCATCGATACATTTTGTCTTCCTATCCGTCTGCTTCAGTAATCCAGCCGCAGGCACGTCGATCGGTTGTCCATAAAAGCTACCAACTACGTGTCGTTGCTCTCGCTCTCACATGCTATCTAGATACTTCATTGGTGCACAACAGCTGAGTTTGCGAGACTTTCAGTACTTGGGTGCTATTGATTCCGAACTTCAGCTGTATCTACTGCTGATGCAGTGGGTTTCGCCGATGTTGAGGAAGCCTTCTGTTCTCCTACAGAGATCAGAAATCCGTAAACAGCCCCCTCTGTGTCATCATCTCTGTGGGAACTGGTAATGTTCGAAATATGAACCGGTTTTTCATAATGCCTGTTTACTCGTCAACCATCACTAGTCTTGATTCAGTGAAAGAAATGGCTACCCACTTGTTGACCACAGTTCAATTACCTACCCGAGGCTTAGGGGCTTGCGTGTAATCTCCAACGCTTTCTATTTCGAATTTTCTTGATCGGGTTTTTTTGTCCCTCGGAATGTAATCGTGTTTTTTTTAGATATTCTGATTGTTTTTTCCAGAACCCTGACCATTTATGTAATTTGTTTAAGCATTATTTTACTGGTTGTTAGATCCCCACTTTGCTTTGTTACTGTATCCCAGGAGAACAGTGTATTATCCTGTCCCACCGTTCTGCCTGGAGGCTTTCTCCGTTCATCTAGCTCGACCGTCGTTTTATTAGTTTCGCAACTAATTGTAGTTCGAACAATCCAACTGTTTTCCCACGTATCGACCGGCTACATTTCCCTTTACGTTTCCAATATCTCTCCGCATGTTTTATTTAAATTCGCCTCTTTTGTTTGTGGGCGTTCATCTGTATCAGACTACGATACGCTTTGTGTCGCATTCCAGCCGAACCACTGAGTCGTTTTTTGCCACCATTACACCTGCGCCTCTCAATTTTTTTTTTCAAATATCCAGTCCTTATTTTCCCTTCTCCCATAATTTTAGATCATCGTTTTGTCCCGACAATGGATGCAATGGAGTTGGACGCTGATGGTACAGTCCGGCATCTTACTTCGACACAGCGTGTAAAACTTACACAAGACTTGTCTGTAGTAGAAACTAATGTGAATGTGCTCAATGATATGTTGGCAGAACTGCGGCCAGACTCAGTGAGCCAAGATGACCTAGTTCTACTTCAAGTAAGTTCGCCACTTCGCACTGTTGTTTTCGACTGCGCAGATGCATTTGAAAGACTGCTTCATCTCTGACTAAACTCAACCATTGGGCCTGCGAAAAGTCATATGTCGTTCAGGGTACGGATGTATAATCCTATCGTAAAGATACGAAGAGCGAAGGTCATGGCACTCCTGTATTTCTTTTGTTCCTCGGAGACTGTGAGGTGGACTCTCTGCTGATACAGTTTGGCTCTTTCCTCTGGGCTTCTGCTTTCGGATACGTACATGTTATCATCACTGACCACAAATTACTGGGGAATCTATGCGTATTTCTGTAACAGACATAGTCACAGTGCAAACTGTTTGAATACAGCAACAATGCCATGTATGGTCGTCGTTGTTTCGACACCAGACTGAATCAATGAGAATATAAAGTAGGGCTGGAAAAGAGAATGCACCGTCAGCATTCCTGCTTAGTGACCGTTTCGCACTGGACAGTCAGTCGACTCTGCCGATACCAGACCATTCACAGGTGTCTGACATCAACGACGTTACCCTCATCATCGATGCTGCTGCAGCTTAACAGTGATGCAATAAAGACACGTTAATTCTGTAGCTACTTTCTCAGAGCTTATGAAGAAATACTATAGAAATGTGTTTCCTGGCTAGTTTTAACTGATTTGACTAGGAAACAACTTGGAAGATATATATTTTGGCGGAATCTCAACGATTCAATATGCTTATCTGGTTTGTTGGGGCGCTGCTGAGATATCATATCTCTCTGGATGTAGGGGTTTCTCGAGTTCCAATCAAAATAGTCCGAAATATTGATTCCAGACATCAGAACAATGATACTACGACAGAGAATACTATCATGACATTACATGTCTACCATAGACAAAAGTCGTGACCAATTTGTGTACTAAGTGAATTATAATCGGTTAAATAGCATTCCCGACAAAGAACCGGATATATGGGCAGGCAGTCTAGGATGGTATCAGCTCAGCAATTCCCAACAAGAAATCCATCCGAATAAAACTCGTCTCTGGAGGAGCTTCATAACTGCTCCGTGTTGCTCACGACCTACTGTGCGACCCCTTCCGAAAAGCATAAAAATCTCCGTTATTTTGGTGGTTTCAAATCATTGTATGATGTATAATGTCATGTTTTATCGTCTACGTACATAGCAGAAAATTGGAAGTAAGCAAGCATCTGTATGAATGAGTCGAGAAAAGCCTTGATGTCTTCATCATAGAATCCCGTATCTCTTAAGCCTTTCTTTGTTGTAAGACGTGTCCAGCTCACTTTCTGTATTTCTTTGTGTTTGGTTCTACTGATCATACCTCTGCATTTATGACCAATATTTACATGCAAGGAAGTTAAGCTGCATTAGACGCTGGGTATTCACGTAAATTTAGTCCTGCCGAACCAACCAGAACGTTGCTCGATAAATTCTTACTGGGACTACTTCCTGGGAGAAGGTCTGATCGGTTGGAACTAGAAGCCCAATCCAATGTGCTCACTTGGCGCGAACACTAATCAAGTAATCCTTGCTGATTGACATGCAAAGCCCCAAGGCCGGAATCGTCGAAAAACATGGGTTATCCGAATCATAAATTTCTCTAACTTCACACACACCAAACCGTGCGAAGTCTTCGTCAAACGCTATTGTACTTTCTAATACACACCCAACGCCCGAAGCAAATGTCTCCATCAAAGAGACCGTCAAAACGGAAGTCGGGGACTCGCGGAAGTTCTGTTCAGATTCATATTCTATGTACATGTTTAACCATGTGAATGTATCACTGCAAGAGGCACAATTATCAGTCAACAAAGGAATGAATCAGCACTCAATGAGGCATGTATCACATGGATGGAATCAACACCTATGTCGGTCGATCCATCAGAACATACGAAACTGTCATAACCAATCCTCGCTATCGTTGCCAACACACTCCAGTTTATCATAGTAACCCGGTTGCACTGAAAAGTTCACGGGTGTTGGAATAACTACGCAACCATTTCAATATAAGTTTAGCCCCTACCCAGACGAGGGTTTCGGAAGAGCTATACATGACATGACTGATTTCATCGAAAAACTGTTCTCGCTATTCTTAAACAATATGAAACTCGCCACAAGTGGCGAAAACTATGTGTACAGCGAGAACAGTATATTGGCTACCTGGATGTGTGGAAATCTTTGGAAAATATTTGCATCGCGAACCCTATGACTGGTGCAATACTAGTGAAATCAAGAAAGCCTTCGAATGTGGAATTGCTTATTGATCAACATGCATTAAGCGAGTACAAGCTATTAGACATGAAAGTAGGCACCCAGGAGTGTTCAAACAATGACTTGGCAGCGAAGTGTGAAAGCCATTACCGGCAAACTCAGCTGCAATGATCATTTTGGAGACCCCGAGACGGGCCATATCAGTGGTTAGATACATTGTCAGACATGGTCCAGTCGTGCCCTCGGTGGTGCTCGTCCATCCAACCTATTGCCTTCAATGGATAGCCCCCTTCCCAATCCCCCCACTTAGAAGTCCGCTGACAGACCTATATTTACGCATCATCGGCTCCCAACTGCATTGCGAAGCTACCTACCCCAACCCCCAAATCATTGGTGGACGAAACTATGGCAGATCTCACCGCTGCATGACAAGTAAGCGGTACTTATAACTGATAATGATGATGATGATGATGGTTGTGGTGGTATGGCTCTTCTGACGGCAATAGCATCTGATGATCTCGACGATATCCAGTGTTCATTCAGTGGAGTCGGATGGCTTGGACAAACAGTTCTGCAAGCTGACAGCATAGCTTCTTTAATTCGCTTCCATTCAACCCCCAAACTATCTTCGTCATCCACATGACCGTACATTTCCAGGGGCTTTCTAGCCAGATCAGCTCAATACACTTGAGCCACTGAAAATTATCAAAGGGCTTGAGTGGAAATGCTCTGTTTTGGCAAATGTAGTGCTGATGGAAAGCTAAGTGGTAACCGGGCTCGCACAATGGCATGATCACAGTTGAGCTGCATACACCAGAGGGAACGACAATGTTTAATTGACGCTCTCCATGGGTAACTGGTGACCGCATGGCCAACTTAAGTTCATGCCTGTCTTGAGGTTTGTGGCCTTCAGATAAATCGATGTGAGCGTTTATGTTGGAAGCCCGTACTGTCCAAGAACAGACGACAAGCTGCACACAACTGAAGAATTTGATCCACATTGTCCGTACGCTGGGCGTCGTCTCTAGATCTATCACCTAACTGTGCTTCTTCTCAATTTAGTCGACCAACTTGAGCATTCATATGACCCGCTAGGATTACTATACCCATCTTCTTTGATGACCGAATCGGTCGTGACAGATCTCGATAAAACCCGTCCTCAATCTCGTAACTGCTGTCTGTCGGGGCGCATGCCGATTCGACATCGTTTACCGCACCGACCTGCACTGATCTTGATTGAGCCAGACAACTGCACAGCGCAAAGACTACTGTTTACCAGGATCCATTCTAGTAAGGTGCTTTTAGCCTTGGCGGCTGAGTACAACTTTCACACCGTAGATACAAAGAGTCATTGCGTCAGGTTCACCAGATATCCGAATAATGAAATGTGGAACCTCTGAGCTCGTCCTAATTGGCTTGAGGTACACGACCGAAGTGGAGTCTTGCATACGTGTTTCGGAAACACAAGATATACCGACAGATAAGAAAAACAACATTTCGGCAAGAGATACCCGTAGCTCAATTCGAGACATTAAAGGTTTCAAGGTGGATCAGATATTTTGAGTTTAGTAAGTGATTATTTTGGTTTATTTGTCTAGGCGACGGTTTAAACACGGAACAGTGGCTATTGGACTGACAGTTGGGTTGACACACTGCATCGTTCGATGGGTGGGGAGGGGTGTAAGGGAAGGCCGGTAAGCGAGGAGCTGTAAAAGCAAATGATGCTCCCCGCTGTTCCTAGCTGTAGAAGCGGGGTTGATTGAGTTGCCCCACCTTGGACCTTTGTTCGAGTACCCTACCCCTACCCTCTGACTCAGATATCTGAACCGCAAGACAGCAGCTGTTTGGGTTTTCTTTGAAGACCCTTCTCGGAGCCAATTACTCAATATTCTGTCCCACTTGGATTCAAGGGCCGGCCTCGCCTGAGGGCGAAGGGAGTAAGATATTACTGTTTCGCTCCCAATGCTGCGCAAACCGGGAGCCTTTTGGTTTTAAAAGCATTCCGACCGTATTGAATGGTGCACCGGTGGGCACGGCCAATCATTAGACGATCGAAGTGTGAGGTTCTTAGGGCCGACTTTTTCCAACCCCTTCTTCCTCGGAGTAAGGCGGCATTTCTATTTCCCTTTTTATGAATATGCTGGTCGTCTGAAGGAAACGCCTTATTGGCTTCAAATTCCTATCGCAGAAGACCGCCTCGTAATACGATTACTCGTGAAGGGACTCGACATTCTTCGTCGGGCTGTCCTCGTTGGCCTTTCTGGCATTGGTAAACCTTTGGGAACTGAGTTAAAACCTGTATAGCCCGCAGATGTATTGCAGCACTCAAGACCGACCATTATGACGCGGTGACATCTTTAGGTCGAGCTCACGTGGTACGTCAAAAATCAGCGTTTCAATAACAGATGAACATGTGCATCAGCTGTTTTATCCATTGTTCACCAGTGCGCCTTCATTTAAAACAGTAGAGTTTGTATGCTTTTTTTACTTTCCATCTGTAACTGCCATTGAATCACCTTAAGGTTGCAAGTGTAACACCTGCTTGGTAATTATTGGCACTGTCCGTCGTCAAAGTGATGGATTTGATATAAGCAGTTCACTCGGTTCTTTTGTAAGCAAGCATCAACGCACCAGTTTAAAACCAACTACCTTCTTATAAAACGACTCATAAATAATACATTCGTCGTTTGTTCCTCCCAAGCCTGCATCAAATCCGCCCACACTGCACTCATCTTCCGAGGAAAAAGTCTAACACTTTCCAGTTTTTGGACAAGCGCAGGAAGAATCATTC